AATCCCACAAAAAAACAAACAAAAAAGAATGGTGGTATGAAGAGTCAAATTAACCACTACTGCATGAGATATCAATGAACTTCTGCAGGAAAGATAAGTAGTAAAATTGGTTCTGGTATCTTTAGTAGCTGTGTACAGAGACTGTTTCTGCAAAAATCTGTATTAAAGAGACACACTTAGCAGCTCCCTCTACCATAGGTTAAAAGGTCTTTCACCTCTCTGCACAAAGACATATACACAGAAGACCAAAATTTGCTTTCTGCACCATGGCACTGCAACACATACATCTTGCCTGAGAGAAGCTGGAGATAACCTTACATACATAACAAAGTTACATGGGCCTGTGAAGCACTTTGACCTGTCAATGCCCAGAAGTGTCCTGCATGTAACAGTAATAGCCATGCACGGGTCACTGAACACAAAATGGTAGAGTTCCTCCTCTTTCAGTTACAAGTCATAAAATGCCACTCTTCTCCCAAAACTGAAAAATAACCACAGGGAGATAAGCTAGATCCACTTTTACAGTAGCAGGCGAGCCTTATGGAAGACAAAGCCACAAAAAAGAACAGCTTTTTTGTCTTGTAAGTTTAAAATTATGCATTAAACTCACACTTGAACACAAGTAGAACCAATTTTTACTTGTTTTCACAAATATCCAGGTTCTGTGAAAATAATAAGCAGCAGCTGCCAAGCATACTAATAATCCTGTTCTACATCACTAAGGCAGGGTGGAGGAGTAACATTTTAAAGCCCACTTTCCTCCCTCACAGTAAACTCAGTTAAAGCATGACTCATTCCAGTAAAGGATGTGAACTTTGTGTAGAACAGAATAAAACTTGATCCATGTGGCTTATTCAGGAGGGAGAGCTGGTCTAGGGAATTTACGCAAACAATATACTGAAAATCCAACAATAAACTCACTGTAGAAGTGAGCCTCTGTCTCGGTTCATAACCAAATACCACCCAGCTAAATAACAGCTGTATACGACGCCTTTAGGCTGCTGAAGGACCATGGCAATATTATTTTAACAAGCTGAATGAGTTTTATGTCACCCACCCGCTCAGGGTATTACCCTGTGCTCAAGCTCTCAGAGTTCCTCAGAAGACTCATTAGACTGTGCAAGACTGGGCGGGGTGGGGGGGTGTAAGGTGGTACATGTTCTCTGGAAGGGACTTTTGTCTAGATGTCAGATGTTTCCAGAGCTCCCCAACCATTTAGAAGACACCCAATTAAGTTCATTTGGTAAACAGAAGCTTGAAAGGGAGTTGTTGAAATAAGGATGCTCAGTCACAAACAAAAGAGATTTTTTGATATCCCAAAGTTGGATAATGTCTACAACACCTGCAAGCCAAACAAATCTCATGCTGGAATTTTCAAAAGCTCTCCAGCTAAAAGAATGCGGAAGAGAAGACAGCATTGCCCCCACCTTGCACTACCCAAACAGGCAACAAAACACTGAAGAGAAAAAGTAAAAATACCCTCCTCACACACAAGATGGATGGTCTTCTGTTTGGGCAGAAGGTTAAGGGTCTGTTTTGACTCCAGAAACCAGAATTATAAATAGAAAGGAGGATGGGTGTCTCCTTGCATCTCTGCACTATTTATGCTGTATTTAAAAAAAAAAAGAAAATAAAACCCAAAACCTAACACCATATAACTTCAGTGGAGGACTACAGATACCTGCTTTCCATTCAGCTGTCCCTTGTGCATCTTTCTAACCCAAGAAGCCTGCAAGATATTACTGACAATTTAACACTGCCATTATCCAAGGAAGAAGATCAGTACTGGGCGCTTAACGTAGGCTTCATGCCTTTGATCAAGTGAAAGTTCTTTTTCCTTCAGAAGTTTCTTCAAACTACTCTTATCCAAACCAGTTTCTCCTGCACGCATGCAGTAACAAGACCACGTTGCTGTGCAGAAATTAAGGGAGGAATATTTCTTTCACTCCCAGTGTTCACTTCCAAAATTTATAGTTTGCTCCACTTCTGTTAATGCAGGAGTGAATGCAGACTACAATGTATTAGCAGAAAGGCTTGCGGTGAATCACAGTATTTTCATTTCCTCACTTTCTCCTGCTAAAAAGCAGACTTCACACTCTACCTTCCGTAACATGTTCTGTCTCCTACTACACAGGGAAACCTTTATCTGAAACTGAAGGAAAGGGCAGTTGGAGGACTTGGACTCAGAAGCGGAGATTTATTCCTAGCTTTGCAACAAGATTCAGTGTAGTACCTGTGAATCACTTTGTCTCCCTATCCATAACAATGAAAATAACACATCTCAACAAGGAATGAATCTATCAGTGTCACAGACTGCCATGAGATCCATGCATAGAAAGCTCCACAAAGAATTTAAAACTTTATTTCTGTCCTCCAGGGATCCTTCACACAGTAAAAAGCTTAGAAGTAGTTATAATCCCTCTTCTTTCTATTACTGCTGCACACAGCACTGAAATTCACCTGTGGAGATTTTAATTACATCCAAGGCAGAAGGACCTTCTTGCTTTTATTCTACCATTTTTTCAAACAGAAGCAAAGTATTATGTGGCCAGATACACTACGCAAGTCTTAACACTAACAACAGAGGTAGACTTGTATCTCTGTGATTAAAGAGACCACTGTTGCTAGGGAAACTAGGTTATTCAGATCTCCTAAAACCAGCACAATGCTGCAGAGGCTGTTCAGGCTCTACCTGGGAGCAAAAAGACTAGAGCAAAGAGATTAGAGCCAGGAGCTCACCTGCTCAGACACTTCCAGCTGCTCTGGATGCTGCTATTGTAGGTGGCAAGTGGACACAGCAGCTGGGCCCAAGCAAGGGGGCTTGGTTTCTTAGCCAGTGTCTCAGGTAGGGCGAGCATGAAGACGATTCCTATTCTCCTTTTAGGGCCAGCTAGCAAGTCATCAGTAACTGAGTCATCAAAGCCAGAGAACGATGAAACACAGGAACAACAGACAATTGCTGACAAGGGACAGCTAAGGAAAAAGCGTAGGCATACAAGGATGATGGGCTCAAACATGTATTGAGAGAGCACCAGAGACAGACACTGAGGACACTACTCCATGTGTGTCATGCTTCTCTTACCCCAGTGGCAGGCCCCCTTTCTCCTCCTCTTTGGGTAACCTGTAAGAGATCCCACCCCACGGAGAAAGAGCAGCAGCTGTGACTTACAGAAACGAGCCCTCTCAGCACCTAAGAGTAGCTATTTCTACCACTGGCCCTCTGACATTCTCTTACAGTACCCTTCTCCTGCGCCAGCATGATTTTCAGGTGCAATGAACTACCTGGGGCTACAAAGGCTCATCATCGATTGACATATTCTGCTAAAAACCTCAAGCATTTACTTCCACCTTTGGTTCTGACAACAATGGCCTCCCTGGCCTTGCTTTGTTCCAGCTTTTATGAGCCCGTTCCACCATCCCCTTCCTCCATTACTGCTTCCATCCTCTCATCTCCTTTCTCATCTCTGTCCCCTTTTCATTTTGGTTTTCTCAAACTTAATATTCCTTTTCTCTGTCTTCCTGTTCCTCCCCTCTTCTAAATTGCTCCTCTCCCTCACTGCCTCAGATTTCACCTGGCTGGGGAGTAAGGAAGAATCTAACAAATTTACAGTTAGTCACAAATTCACTGGCACTCAGAGACAGCGCAGCAACACTGTTCCCTTGTCCTGTTGCCTACACCCTTCCTGCTGGGTGCCACATTCATTCTTCGGGAATATGAAATCAAGTCATAGATCTAACTTAAAAGCAGGAAGGGAAAAAGAAATTAACTTCTAAGTAAAAATAAAGATTAGCTGTGTCTAATCCAGGGACACACAATGGTTCAAATGCATGTGTCATACTTCCACAGCATCACAACATCCATAGCTGCTTGAGAGGCTTAACAGCAGCATGCAGAGAAGCTTCCAAGCTAGCTGTGCTCCAGCTAATCCTGCTAAAAGAGCAGTGAAGCCACAGCAGCTCAGACCTGCCTGCCTAAGTAAATACCTAGAATCCTGGAGGGGGAGGGGGAGTTGCATCTCATGCCAAAGCCCCACATCACTGTGGTTTCATTGTAACCGGTACCAAGGCTAGCACAAGTTTGTAATGTCTATACTCTCTCCAAAACCATTCCCGCTGCTGCAGAGCAGAAGAGAACTAAGGCAGTTTGCAGCCTCTGAGTGTGTTTGCATGCCAGGGAATGTGTGAGGCCATAGTTTGACAATGCATTGTCCTGGCCGCAATAGGCGTTTAAGGTTTCCCCCCCCAAGCCATAAACCACTGCATGGCCCTTTCCCCTCTTATCCCCCTAGCTCTGCAACCCCACAGATGTCTATGGTCTAGATA